GTAGAAGCACAAGAACCCTCTGTCCAGGCTCAAACTCCCTCTCTCTGGCACGGGTGTCATACTTTTCCTTTTGCCAGCACCGTGCTTCACGCATGTTATCCCTGGCGAGGTCCTGGGTAACCTGGACCCGTTGTTGAAATTCTTGTTGGTAGGAAGACAGGTTCCTCACCCCTTCAGTATCCTGCTCTTAGTCCTCCTGCAGTATTTGCTGCAGACCCCTGGGGAGGTGGCCCAGTATGAAGTCAAATGGCAAATGCTTCATTGCCTCTTGTGGGGTGTCCCAGATCATGAATAATACCAATGGGAGAAGCAAATCCCATTTCCACGGATCACCCTGTATGCACTGTCGAAGCATACATTTTATGGTGCCATTAAGATGCTCGACCAGGTCGCTGGTCTGAAGATGGTATATGGAGGTCCAGAGCTGCCTAATTCGGAGGGTGTGGCATACAACTCGTAATACCCCCAATATAAAATTCTGCCCTTGGTGGGTAAGGATTTCTTTCAGTATCTCCATCCTCGCAATCCATTTGATGAGTTCCTCCACTATCCAGAGCACGGTCACAACCCAAAGTGGTATTGCCTCAGGGTAGCACGTGGCATAATCGATGAACACCAGCACGTACTGGCGTCCCGCATTGCTATGGGGCAAGGGTCTGACTACATCCATTGCTACCCTGGAAAACAGCGTATCAATGATGGGTAGGGGCTAGAGTGGGGCCCATGCTGGCCAGTCTTCTCTTGCTTTGTGGCATTCAGGACATGCTGCACACTGGCAAGCACCCTCCTCTCCCAACCCTGGCCAGAGGAACCACCTGGTCACCCTGGCAATGGTCTTATCACAACCAAGATGTCCCCATGTGGGGCTCACATGGGCAAGCCTCCATATTATTTGGCAGAACCAGGTAGGGACTACTAATTGTGTTCCCTGCTGTTCTGCCGTATTCCCTCTCTGAACCTGGTACAGAAGATGGTTCCGTACCTCAAAATATGAGTTTCCAACCTGCGTCCCCCTCTGCCCATCCCTGGCATTGAGGGATTAAGTCCTGAGTGTCTGGAGCTCTGGGTCTTCCTCCTGCGCTTCCCTAAACTGCGGGCTACTGGCCACATCATGCAGGTTGACTTCATCGGCGCTGCCCGTTGATCCCTCTTCCTCATCAAGTTCTCCTGCCCATATTTCATGGTCCTTGATTCTTTGACGCTCTACTTCAATGTCTCAGATCCGCTTTAGTGTGTCACAAATGGGCGCCCAATCTCATCCGAGCAACATGTCACATCCCAGCTGGGGTGCCCCCCCCACCAACAGCTTCCCCTGGTGTTCCATTACCTGGAGCTGGACCCATTGGTACGTGATTTGCTCAGCTTCTCCATGCAGATATGCCACCCTCACAGGACTTGCCTGGTGGTTCCTCCAGGCTGTGATGATGTCAGCCCATACTAACGATTGCACTCAGTCAGAATCCAATGTGGCTTTGACGGGGCGATTTTCTACCCATGCGTTCAGGACCGAGCACCCCCAGATGGCGTTATCTGCTCCCGAGGTGTAGCTACAATCCACCAGCTCACTTGGATCTGCCTCTTTCCGTGTCTTTGTCCCCTCGAGGAATTGTTGGGGCACCATCATTCGCTGAGACCACCCGCGCATTCTCAGAAGTGACCAGTCCTTCCACAATGGAAACAGACTGTGTCCTTCAGATTGCCCCTGGAAAAGGGTTACCTCCATTCTACTTCTCTAGGGGGCGGAGTCACCTAGACAGTCGTTCACTTCACTCAGCTGTACCCTGCCTCTGATGGAGCAAATGCTTCAACCAGCTTCAAGGCCTTTTCACAACTGCGAGGGGAGTGCTGACGGACCCAGCACTGAGTTTGTTCCTCCCGATCATTCTGGAACTGTTCCAGCAATATTTGGTAAGCTAAGGCATCCCAGTCACAAACTGTGGGGCTCAGCCACTTATTGAAGAGATCCTGCAAAAGCTGCAACAGAATCCTGGGTCATTGCTCGTCTGGCCCTTTCCTAGCCCAAAACAGCTTCCGATAATGCTCTGGTTGATCTCGAGCCTATATAGGACTGCTGCTTTGACTCGATCATAGTCCTGAGCTTCATCCCAAGGAAGAGCCCAGTAGGCCTCTTGGGCTTTACCAACGACAAGCACCCCCAACTGGCTAGCCCAATACCCTTTGTCTAACCCCATCATACTTGCATGGCACTCAAAGACTTCTATGTATGCCTCCAAAGTCATCGTCCCGGGTCATCTTTGGCATTTTAAATGCAGCCAGACTACAGCATAGCCAGTCTTATTGGCGGTTCATCATTTGCTGCTGGGCTGAGCACATCCAGAGGGGCCATCGCTGCCAGTTGCACTGTGCTATAATCCGTGTCTGCCGGGTCTCCTTAGTGTTTCCCAGCCAATGTACCACTTTGTGCCTGCCTGGCCTCAAGTATGCCTTCGCAAGCTGCCTTGGCACATGCATCCAAAAGTGGCCGCGAAGTGGGTGTCGCCAACCTCGGAACACGATCGCCCCGGGGGGAAACCCAGAGACTTTCCTGCCACAACTTCGATGATACCTTCAGTGGTGGGCTCCCCTTCAGTGGACTCACTTGGATTGCCTGCAACCCTCGACGGGTCTTCATGGGGCTCCACCTGCCCTATACCCCATCCATGTGCCAGCCTCTAAGATGTCCCTCGATGTTCCCAAGGCTCACCCTCTGACGTCACCCCTTCCTTTTGGAGTTGCTCGAGGCCACCCAACGGACCTTTGGCTAAGCCCAGTCACTGGCTGAACTCCTGCCTTGGAGTGCCACCTTCACCCCTGGTCTTACCTCCAGGACTTCTAGAGGCGGTCCTGCCCTTGCCTCAGGGCCTCTCAGGGCTGATCCCCATCACAAGAGTTACAAGGAAAATCACGTGCAAAAGGACAAAACATAGAAGAAAAAATGTAAAGAAAAGGATTTTGCCCATAATCCAGAGTAGGGTCTGGTCTGTCCCTTTCTGACTCACAGCCCCTTTGGATTATGGTCTTTGTTGTCCCTCAATGTCATCCAGTGTCCTTGCTCCCGCTGGAGACCTTCTCTGATGCGTCAGCTACGTGTCCCTTGCTGCACACCGGCATTGTGAACACTCAGCATGCGAAGCACCCTTGGAGTGCATCCCCTTTGGTGCTCCCCCAGCATCTCCCTCAGTGCTGGCTTTTATCCCAACCGGGCAGCGTCCAAGGATGATGTAACCTGCCTGTGCTGGCTCAAGCCGGAAGTAGGTGCAGCTTATAAACCACATGGCAATCAGGAGCCAGTGCAGCATGGCTGCCTCTTCATCTCCTGAAAGGGGTAAATTAACCCTGGTTTCAGGGCTTTTTGTGCACAAGTGAGCTGTCTCACCATGGGGCGGGGTGGGGGGGGGCAGCAATGTGTCTACCAGTGATTATCCTCCCAGGACATAGGGGTTTTCAACCTTTTTTTAGTCTAAGTACCCCTGCTATGAAGGCTGCCAGACGTTGGGAGGGGGGGGAAGGAGTGGCCCGGGGCCAGACGCTGGGGAATGGGGGAGCACACAGACAGATGGCCAGTGCATGTGAGCTTCCCCACCCCACAGAGGGATTTCACTGCCCTTGCCCTGCCCCAGCCCTGGTCCTGGGAGGTAGCAGTGTTCCATCTCTGCCCACCTGCATGTACCACCTAGAACTGGTGCAAGTACCCCAAGGGGTATGCAGACCCCTGGTTGACAACCCCCGCTCCAATAGATATGCTATAGTCTAGACAGTGCCTTCTTACAACTTTCATTCACCAAGCAGGAAACCTGGTGAATAAATGACTGGTGTTAAGGAAGAGACTAGGCTTAATAAGGGATGCAGGGAAAAACTTAACCCAAGGAGAAAAAGACCACAAAATTAGCTTTTCAATGGATTAGGTATGAAAACAAAGTTTAACTTTAGTTTTAATAGCCAAGTTATAATGTACATTGTTTTAAGAACAAATATTAAAATTGCTAATGAACATCAAATTTTGTCAAAGCAATTTGTTTTATACATAATTTTATTTCAATATATTACTTTGTTTCACCCTTTTCTTTTTTGGTCTATGACCAAAGACAAATGAGGAATGATGGAGTAAACAGCAAGAAAACACTTCCAGAAACAGCTTACAAAGGGGTTTAAAACACTATGATGAGCAGTTTCAATTTCATTCTTGAATTTTTCTTGGCCTGCATACAACACTTTCCAAATTAAATCAATTAGAAACTAAGATAGATGGCCTCATAGAAAACATGCTAGCTTCTGTTAAAATCATGCTGGCAAAAAACCCCAAAAGATTTGCCCAGAATTAGGAAATATAGCCTGGCAAGAACTACTGTGTCTATTTTACAATTCTGACATACAAGTCAATACACATGACACTCTCATTAAATGGTAGTCACAAAAGAAAACACAAAAACACAAAAGAAAGATGTTGTCCTCTTGATAAAAGACACAAAAGTAAGCCCAAAAGTAAATACAATATATAAAAAAAAAAAAAAAAAAGCAATATTACAGGTTTCTCAGGAGCTATCATTCTGGAGCCTGGTAACCAAGTTAAACACTGGCATTATTTATTTATACTCTGATAACACCTCAAATCCTCAGGCTAGGCACAATGAAATAACACACAGGAAAATAACAGTCCTTGCCCAAAAGAGCTTACAATCATAATCAGCAAACACCGCAGCGAAAGATATACGTTATGAATGAAACAGTCGGTTGGCCAGGTCAGGAAGATGATACTAAAGTAACAGGATGTTTACACTTCTTAGTAATCAGGATTATGTACCAGACTACACGTACGCTTTTCTCTGAAAATTTTAACAAATAACCACTGAAAGAAATAGCTGATGAATGAATAGGTGGCAATAAAGTTTAATTTAACAGAAGGAAATGTTTCAGAGCATTCTACAGAAATGCCTCCTAGAAAGAAAGCAAAGCAAAAAGGAAACATGCAACACTGAGAAAACCATTTCAATTAACCTTACCTCAGCCTGGCAAAGTGCATGAAGACCTTGTAATACTAAGGCAGCAGGTGTAGCTTGATCAGGCTTTGTGCATTCATTCAGTACCTGGGAAATCACAGCCAACATATCTGCTCCATGCTGGTAGGGCCTAGAGGAAAATCAACATTATATGAAGGTACAAGCATATTTTTAAAAAATCTGCTTGATAGCCCAAAGCTTCTTGACATAAAAAAATATTTCCAAGCATATATTTTTCTGCACAGAAATAACTCCTGAGGCAGCAAAGGGCAATCAGCAGAATGCACAGCAGCAAATCAGGCGAGGGAACCAAGTAACAGTTGGGGAAGGATATGGGGCTTAGCTTGTGGTATACCTGACAAAAAGTTTGGCCCCCACTGAGTTAGTGGAAGAGAAAGAAACCACAGGTAGTGAGAAAGAAAAAAAATTTTTTTTTAATTTTTGCATCAGTAGAGAAAGGAATCTGCATTAGGTTTTAAAACAGTACTGATGAGAACTATGTAGCACTTGATGTTCATAGATTCAAACAGATTACTTTCTATAAAGTCTGACCTCCTTCATAATACCAGTCACAGAATTTCACCTAGTTACTTCTGTATCAAGTCTAAAATCTTGCATTTGACTAAAGCAGTTGTTCTCAACATTTTTAGACTCAAGGGAAACGTCTACATGTGCCACTAATAGGCAACAATAAACTGCGGGATTTATTGCTCCGCCTCCACAGTATATTGCTCCTAGGAAGTTCCCAGGCATACAGTTTACACATGCACCCAAGAACAGCACATTGAGCTGAATCACAGAAGCCCTGGCTGGCAGAGGGCCCAGGGGATCAGCTTGCCAGCCTGAGGCTGCTCCGTCTGAGCTCAATGTGCTGTGAAAGGGCTGGCTGGAGCACAACAGCTACGCATGAAAAAACTCCACAGCGGAGTAGGACCTATAAATACAAGTCCTAGCCTGCTGTGGAGTTTGTTAGTTTCATGCACCCTAATAGGGGCAGACATGTAGACAGGGACATTTACTGTGCAGTTAATTAGGCAACTGCCCAGTAAACATCTTGTGTAGACTCATGACACCCCTTAGGAAAATATGTTGGCTGTTAGTTTTCACATGTTTTTTGACCACAGAAAAATAACAGACTAATTCTTCTGTTGCAAAGAATTCAGAAAGGGCACAACAGGTGAGAATAGTTTTTAACATCGTGGATTTCTATTTGAAATCCCTGGGTTTACCTTGCACATCATGTTTACACATCTACCAATGATAACATTGCATTGCACCTCACAGCACGCTTGAAAGGATTTCAAGACACCCAAGAGTGCTGCCTCACCCTGGTTGAGAATCACTGGACAACAGCATACCTTTCAGACAGGTATCCAATCTATATTTAAAACAGCAAGTGACAGAAAAATTTATTTGTAGTTGAGTCCAATGGTAAGTTAAGCCACTGAAAAACATCAAAAAAAAGGTGTGATAGGTTCTAATACACATTCCCAACAATCGTGCTTCCTGCTATGCCACATGCATAGCAGCAGGCGTGACTGTAGGATTGGGCATCAGATTTCATCATGCCATACTGCCAGTGCAAGGGGAGCCTAGGATCACCACAGCTGCACAGGGAAAGACTGGGTCCCCATGCATCTCATACAGACAGGCAAACTCCAGGGTAAGGGCGAAAAAAAAAAGATCACGCTCGTTGCTTTTTTCTCTTCGATGGCTGATGCCAGGCTACCTGCACAGTCCCTGAGCCACACAGAGCCCAGTGCTTTGCGCTGTGGCTGTAGGGCAGTAAACTAAAACTCCTCAGAGGTGTTTTAGTTTGCTGAGCCCCAAAGTCATTTAAGGCACATCACACCACCGAATGTGCTACAGCGGCTGGAATTAATACGTAATACACTGCTGACATGTGCAAACACAAACACCATTAAAGTGGTGCAAAAGCATTTAACCCACTTTAAAGTGTCGTGCACACATTGCCCCTCATTTCATCTACAGATGCCCAATAGTTTCTTATGAATTTATAATCTCTAAGTGACAGCTTGGTTCCATCAAAATCAACAGCACAATTCTCCTCAACTTCAACTGGACCAGGATATCACCCTGGGAATATATTAAAGAACTTTCATTTTGCCAAATCTCATGATTTGATGAAGAGGTGTGCAATATTTAGTGTTTTCCCCAAAGTTTCATCCCACAGATGCTAAGTGAGGACAGTCAGTGCATGTCTACACAATCTCACTAGCATTCCAGCAAGCACACACTATGTGCTGACAACATCTAAAACAGAAATAGCATAGACATGCCTAGAGCAACAATTACTAGGGACAGACATTCAAAAAGTCGGAGTCTGAATTGATTCAATCTTTGCAGGTTAGTCTAACCTATGTAGACTGAACTGATTTGCAAGTGAATAGACAGTCACTTGGCCCAGCTCTAGAGTTGGAAAGAACCTGCCTCCTCCTGGCCCTATGACCTTGAGATCCACAGAAGAACAGAAGCAGCACAAAGGAGCTGAAAGAAAAGTACAGTTCTTTACTGAAAGGTAAGAGCTTAAATTGCTCTAAATTCAGTATACTAAACTATATTTTAGTTGCATTAGTATATTTTTCATAACCTATGCAATTCATAATTGAATTCCTACTGATCTGATGTTTTATGACAAATCACCCAACTTTAGCAGTGAGGTGAGGCCTGAAAGGCAGGGAAGTTGTTCACAGTCAACTCTGAGGAGGCCTCTCCTCCATCCATTACTAAATTTGCATATGCTGTAGCTTGGTGTTTCTATATGCAAGCTAGTGACTAAATTACATTTTTCTTTCTTCTTCTTCCTCAGCAAAATGGTGCAACCAACTTTTAGCATGTGGAAGCATTTCCACAGTGCAAGTTATTCTGATAAAAATATGTAATTTGCAAATACTATCAAATGAAATATGCATTTCCAAATGCTACTACGGCGACCAAAAAAATCCTTGTATGTAAGAAGCGTCCTGCAGGTTTTAAAAAATCCTTCATGGGTGTATATTAGGAGGAGGTAGATCATGATACAAGTAGCTATTTCCAATGTTCTTGGTCCAGAAGTCCTCCTACTGCTGCTTCTTTTTCTTCTATAATATCAGCATCACAAGGGGTTGCCCAATCAACATCCTCAAGAAATCAAATATTTCAACCACCTGTATATAAAAGAGTCTCCAAATGGCTTCACTTGTAGACAAGATGACACCTGAAGATCAGGGGAAAAAACTGACCAAGCTCTTGCAAGAGCAATATATTCTGTGACACCACTGTCAATAACTGAAAATGCATACTGGCAGGAAGTTTTTAAATTACTAAAACCTTCATACCGTTTTACCCACCAGACACTCTTTGAGCAAGCCTCTTTTAGAATCAGAATATGAATTTGTAATGCAATCTGTGCAAGGAAAAAAAACAAAGCACTGTCTTGCAGTACTTACTGGATAGACAAATGTGTGGGGAGAAGGAATCATAAACTTTGTGATAACAACACCTCAACCAGTTTTTTTACAGAAGCATTGAAAAAGAAGAAAACAGGCATACTGCAGAGTATATCAGTAATAAAATATGTGAAGTTCTACAGAAGATTGAGAGTGGTAAAGTATTTGTTTTGCTGACTGACAAGGCAAGTAACATGAAAGCAGCATAGAAGATCATAATGGATAAATATCCACATATTACTGAAATAGAATGTGCATCCCATGGGGGTAAACTTGCTTCTTAATGACACTGAAGTTGGGCACTCTGCAAAACAACTACAGAAGAGCAAGAGAAGTTATAAAACAAGTAAAAGCTACTCATATTGTAGCTGTAGTCTTTAAGAAGAAGCAGGAAGAAAAGAATGCAAGGAATAAAATAGTGACACTCAAACTCTGTAGTAAAAATTGGATGGGGTGGAGTGGTGATCTCATTTGAAAGTTTACTAAAAAACAAACTAGCCCTTCAATAAACAGTAACAGAGGATCTTAAAGTACCGAAAAGTGTAAAGAACACTGTCTCCAATGAGGATGTCTTCTGGGTTCAGCTGCAGAACTCCCTGAAGATTCTAAAGCCAATTTCTTGAGCAGTTGCTGCATCTGAATCAGACACTGCACTTTTGTCAGACATTCCTTACCAAATGGCCCAGATAAAATCAACTGTTTTTGAGAATCTATGTTCTGCTTACAAGTACAGAAGAAAGAAAAGTGAAAGACTTTATTAACAGACGGGAAGTATTTTGTTGCCAATCAATTCATGCTGCTGCAAATCTCTTGGATCCAAGATTCAAAGGAAGAAATGTTAGTGATGACTAACTGCATTTGCACTGGATTACAAAACACCAACACACTTAGGACTTGATGCTGGAAATGTACTTTCAAATGTTGGAGAATACAGAACATCTTCAGGTATTTGGCCCAGGAATGCAGTCTGGGACTCTGTCAAGCATATCTCTCCTGCAACATGGTGGCAAGGCCTTTGCATGACACAACCTCTGACTCCTCTTGCTTCTCGCCTGCTTCAGATTCCTCCATCTTCTGCCGTATGTGAAAGAAACTGACCTATGCTTGGAAATACTCACACCAAATCAAGAAATAAACTAACATGTGACAGAGCAGAGAAGCTCGTCTCAATCCGGACAAACCATCAGTTTTCAGAAGTCCATGAAGATGATAAAAATGAAGGATCAGAAGAAGCAGAAACTGCCAACAATAATAGCTCAAAAAATGAGACTGATTAGAAGAAGTTTAATGTAGCAAAACTTGTATTCAATGAGTCTTGGGGTTTTTTTCCCCTTTTTTTCCTCAGCCCTTTTTCTAAAAATGAGTGCTTTCTGTATCTGCTTGACACTGTGGAGCAGACTAAGTCCAGAATGCATAATAATTTCCTTTGTTTTACTATAATGTTGATGGTTTCTTCTGCTTTCAACTTTAATTTTTGCCTGCTTCTTATAAACTGGCAAAAACTAAGCGATCCTAGGTTCCTTAGAGTTCAGCAGATGGAGTTCCATTTGTAACAAAAATTAAAAACATTTTTAAAGTAAATGTAATTAGTAAATTTGTAATTATTGTCTGAATGATCTATACTTTTAAATTTAATAAATATACCAAACATGATCATTTTATGAGCAAACCAAGTGAATTTAGATCTGTAAAGGTTCCTAAGAAAATAAATATAGCATATATTTCAATTTTTCCCAAAAATTCAATTTTTTCCAAAAAAAACCAGGAAAAAAACCTTTTTTTTCTTCCACAGCTTCAAAATTTCTGGGAATTTTACATCTCTAGTCTGGCCAAGTCCCTACCCCTGCTCAGGCTAAAGAGCAGAGGGGTTGGACCAGCTCTGGAGCAGACAGCACAGCTCAGCCCAGGGCTAGAAAGCATGCTGGGATGTTGGGGAACACTGGTTTAACTTAAACCAGGAAGGGGTCTGGGACAGAAATTCCATAAACTGATTTGACCTAAATCAGTTAAGTCTGATACTACATTCAACCAGGTTTATCTTAAACCAGTTTCAGCCATTTTGAAACATGTTTATGTGCATTGAGAATTTATGTCCCGTTACAGGTTCAAACCAGTTTCTGATCATTTAAGCCGGTTTATGTGTAACCTCTGTCCCTAGCCAACAAAGCAGCTGCACAGACAATACATAAAGAAGGGATGTTGTGTGCCTTTTTGAAGCAGCCATGACAATACAAAGATGGTGTAGACAAGCCCTCAGCATGTCAGTTGTGTACATTGTTCTTTACATCCACCAAAATCCCTTTAAACAGTGGTTCCACATCAGCATGTGAATGCAGGAAAAAACAGTGGAATCAGTAGTCTAGTTCTTACTTCATGATAAACACCAAGTACATTTTGGAAAATTAGCCAAAATTACAAAATTCTTTTTAAAAAAGATCCTGAGGAATTAAAATTCCTTCTCAAATTTGTTTTGAAGCATCACTTAAAAAAAAAAAAAAAATCAATTTATATGTTCTTATCATTTGTCTTTTTCATATTTCTACTTTCATAGTTTCATAGTTTCATAGTTTCTAGGGTCAGAAGGGACCTGAGAAGATCATCTAGTCCGACCCCCTGCCATGGCAGGAAAGAGTACTGGGGTTAAACGACCCCAGCAAGATGTTCATCTAACCTCTTCTTAAAAAACCCTAGGGTAGGAGCCTGCATCACCTCCCTTGGAAGTTGGTTCCAGACCCTAGCCGCCTTGACCGTGAAATAGCGCCTCCTGATGTCTAACCTAAATCTACCCTCTGCTAGCTTGTGACCGTTGTTCCTGGTCTCTCCTGGCTGTGCTCGGGGGAACAGTGACTCCCCCAATGCCTTCTGATCCCCCCTGACCAGTTTGTAACAGGCCACAAGATCCCCCCTCAGCCTTCTCTTTTGGAGGCTGAACAGGTTCAGGTCCCGTAGTCTCTCCTCATAGGGCCTGCCCTGCAGTCCCCTGATCATGCGAGTGGCCCTCCTCTGGACCCTCTCTATGCTGTCCACATCCCTCTTGAAGTGCGGCGCCCAGAACTGGACGCAGTACTCCAACTGCGGCCTGACCAGTGCTGCATAAAGGGGGAGGATCACCTCCTTGGACCTGCTTGAGATGCATGGCAAGGTATAGTTGGCCTTCCTAACTGCCTCCCCACACTGCCGACCCATGTTCATCTTGGAGTCAATGACGACTCCAAGATCCTTTTCCGCCTCCGTGCTGACAAGAGGGGAGTTCAGAACAAAGTGTATGCAATGCGTATTATACTTACCAGTTACCAAGATATTGCATCTATTACAGCCATCAAAAAGTATGTATCCCACAATTATAACAACAGACTAAGAAACCATTGGCATAACTTTCCTTTAAACATCATTCAGCATCTCTACATTGAAACAGGATGGATAACAAAACGTTGGATAATTAACTCTTCTTCTTACCTCTGTCTACATATATCTCGGATGGAAGCAGCTTTAGCAATTAGCTTTTCCCACTGAGCATCCTTGCCAACAGACAATGAGGGCATGTCAGACATTGCCATAAACCGCTGCAGTTCTGGGTAAACCCGATCCTAGGAAAAAACTGACTTTTAAAATAATATGCAATTAATTTTCTTTAAATTAATGACAAGATTGTATGCTGCTAAAACCTGTGCACAGCTTCCTAAATGAACATTTACATTGCAAATCATAGTATATTTTTCTTCAGCAGTGGAAATGAATGTTGTGATATGATGTAAGTGGCTTCTGTGAACAAAATCCACATTGTTTGGCTTTTTCCCATAAACTAAGCAGCAAGCTACTACTATGCAACCAAATGTAAATGATTTAATCACTCAACTCTGGTACTTTTGGTGCATTATCCAAAAAGCATAAAGATGTCTTTCACACACAAAATTATTTCATAATTTCATTCCAAGGCTCAATGAGATGCATAATAGGTTCCATGAAAGGCCAACTTTAGAAGTTGTCAGTACATCAGAATTAATAAGTGTATCACTGACACCATTTGCTTTCCACTGCTAATAATTAGGCCCTAGCACAAACAATTATCCAAAGTCTTCTCTAGTTAGAGGAAACATGTTAAAATAGTTTCTACAGCAATTTATCTTACACTGCACAATTTTTCTAACCTGTCTCTCCCATAAAGATGTCATCAGGCGTAAAGAAATGGCTCTAAGGTTTGGTGTGTTCCCCAGAACCTGTATTACACGTAGAATTTGAGCTACACACATCTGAAAGAGATTTTTTAGGACATGGTTATGTTAATATCCTTGAACAAGAAGGTGTCTATAAATCTTCACTTTCTGTGAATACCAGAAATAGATAATTAAGCCTCCTGCAGTGTCAGGAAGAAACAGAGTCATTTTCTGATAAATTTTAAGTTCATACTGATTTTAAAGGACATTTGCTTTGGATATATAAATACAATAATGATATAATGTTGATAGCTGAAACACAATGCATACTTCATCCTTTAAAACAAATGTCAGATCCCATCATAAATATTAACATGTTATGCAGACACTTACAAATAATTTAAAATTATAAGCAAGTTATATATTTCTGCATCTGCTATTCCATGCAATTTAACTGACTAGTTACAGTTACACTTGTTTCATTAAAAAATATTTCAAAGGAAGTTGAATTTCTCTTCGTACTGACCTTATGCACACCCAGAGTAGGTAAAGCATACAAAATATCACGATACAGCACAGGCTCCAGTGGCCTTCCCAGTTTAAACATCAAAACTGGGATTAGATTTGGGACCTAGAAATACATGGAAAGTATTCATCCAAAAGCATTTACTGCTGGCATCAAGGAAACCAGATGTTATTGACATGGTAAATGGCCTACGGGAAGACCAGCAATGAACCCATTAGAACACCCAACACATCACTCTTGTTGCATTAAAATTTGTACTCATGAAAGAGGGAGGAATAAAAAAACTGACATTTCAGAAGACTCATTTATAGCTTTCTTTTCTCCTCTCAGCTGTTTTCTTGGAATTGACATATCCTTTAGAGCTACCTACAATCACTGGGGAAAATCTATTACAATTTTTATAATAAATATTTTATTAATGTAAGAAATGAAGTAATATGAACCAAAATAAAAGTGACAAGCAACATTAACATAGCAATTTTCAGCACAAATTTCAAAGAATTTTAGAAAGATTGATCAAATAATCAGTAACAGATTATCCTTACTCCATGGACAGGAAAACTGAATTACCAAAGGTTAAAAGGGACATGCTCACAGCCCTAAAATATAAAAATCAGTGAAAGAAATTGAAGTCATGTCCTTTTTTTAATTCCCAGTCACATGTTCTAACCCTGGGCAATGCTACTCATATATAGCACATAACTTCCAAAATGAAAGCTCAGCTGAATTATGTCAGAAGATTTGTTGCAATAGCTTAACACTTCACACCGTTCAAGCCTGAAAACCTAATGACTGCCTCAGAGTATTTGCAATATTCCATATAGCTATTTATCTAAAACAAATGTATACATATTAACATTTTACTGGTTTCATAATAAATGCAAATTTTCAGTGTCATTTTAATATGCAAAGAAATGTAAGGTTTTCTCACTGTCTGCTTACAATAAAATTGTTTCAACCCCTTGAATATTTACAAAGTTCTCACTTTCTTCTGAATTTAATTTCCATAATTAATTTTAGACATTCTGAAAGGAGCAGACAGGCAAAGATCCCCAAGAACAATTCACATTCCATGTCGGTGAAGAAAGAATTCAAATGCAGATTCACCATTACACTAGAATTCTAATACCACTGTTACAATTATCACCATATAGTATTAATTTAGATGATTATTTATTGAATTTTTAATAGACAATAGCATTTTTCTAAAGTATTGCCACCACAAAATGAAACAGAGGGAAATGGCATGTTATTTAACTCCCAGTTTGTTTTTCTTTTAGGTACTGTTTTCACAAAATTATACCATCACACAAATGAATCTCTCAGTTAAATTAATGTATCAAAGGATCCTGTCATTCTCTTACAGAAGTAAAGCATGCTAGGAAATTCAGTATTTATGTGAATATGCTTATTCCACATCCTCTAGATTTTATACAATTATTTTCATTATGCTGTCAGCCAGGTCTGCAGAGTTCTCCATTTCAGTCATAGGATTTGCTTCTTGAGTGGATCTCTAAGCGTTTTTCTATTATCTTAAACTACTGTAAATTTAGAACTTATTCAAAGAGCACAAGATTGGGCAATTTTGTGTGGCTTTGAAAGAGGAGGATAAATTCAGAAGAAATCCCATACTTATTTGCCTTGACTAGACTGGCTCATATAAGAGATAGAGGCCATCAACCTAAATCCCTCAAAACAGTTGTAAGCCAAATAGATCCCAAACCTCTTTGAAAAATTCAGCACAGTGTAGACAACCTTTCCTACACGTGTAAGTAGTAGTACTTTTGACCATTATTGTAGGATTCCACAGTAGCTTTCTCCCAGTAACCCATACATACAACGGTATGTCTTAACCTCAGACCCAAACATGAATACCTTGTATTTAAAAGCTTGGCCATCTCAGCTGTGCAGTTGGTTCGATAAAAGATACCCTAAGAAATCCTTGCCTCTTGCATAATTCCTGGACCACCACAGCCACAGCTCACTCTAATGCAGCTTAACCTGAAAACATGTAGAAGATCCCTTTCCATCTCACAAAAATAATTTATCTAGTAATAGGAAGGCAATTTCTTTTAAGTGAGCTCTGGGATTTTCACAACCACCAGATTGCACATTTCCATGTGCAATGTTTAAACAGGATCCCAAACAGGACCTCAGCTTATTTTGCAAATCATCATCATCTCCATAATGGATTAAATTAAAAGTCCAGATAGGAACTTCCACACATTTGTTAAGTCTGAAGGATACATCCAAATTCCAAAATTTGCATCTGGGAATCACGTACAATATTTATAAAACAAACTTAAGTTTGAAAGGGTTTCTCTCCCTTTTTTTAAACCCCTAGTGCAGGGGTTTTCAACCTTTTTTAGTAAGTGTACCCCCAGCAGTCAAATGCAGAGCTGGGGAGTGGGGAGGAGGGGGGGAAGAGGGCAGGTGGCACGCAGCTGGATCTACACCCCCCACTGAGGGACACCGCTGCCCTCGGCCCTCAACCGCCTCTGGGAGGC